GCATCTTCGACTTTGGAGTCGAAGGCATCGTTGCCATCAATCTCGTTGTTGTTGTCGGCACCCACCGCATCGTCCGAGGTGGCGCCGATGAGGGCCTCATCCGGGATGCGGATTTCATCTGCCGCCACGTTATGGTCGAGGTGGCGACGATCACCGCGGAGGTGGCGCTTCATTGAGCTGATGGGCTGCGCAACGTTGCGGTGCTCGGGGTGCGCCAGAGCATTCGCGTCTACGTATCAAAGATCAGCCTCTGATCGTCGTAACCAAGGGGCTTCGTACGCTGGGCGCCAAGCGACTCGTGCAAGACGACGCACAAGGCAGCGAGGGTCAACGGGTGGTAAATGCGCATGGTCAAGTAAATGGGTTTTGAATTGTGAGAGGCATGAGGAGCGCGGCGGGGGGGGTGTTTCAAAACCAGGCAAACGGTGCGTCCCAAAATACTCGTGTCGTCCCGCAAGAAGATACCGCTCCGCGTTTGGCACACAAGCTACATGGAATGCTTGCCGCCGTGCTAGCATAGACAGGTCGGAGCGAAACCACTTGAGAAGCGACTGCGAAAGGCGCCAAGTGCAGTGCCTCCAAGATTAGCGACCAATCCGTCTCAAACGAGCCGAGAACGGCCCAACGGACGCCTGGCAAGCAAGAACCCGTCGTTCTGGGCCACGGCTCAGGCGGCAGCCGAACCCTACAAAGCGCTCCCGTCGTGCTCGCACGTCGCGATAGCGTCGATGGCTTTGGCGGCCGCGTCGTATTCTATTGCAGTTTGCAGCCATTCATACAGACAGGAGCGGCCAAGAGAGCAGTAGTATCCTATTGAGCTTCTGCATTTGTGTCGAGATATCGCCGCGCACTGTGCTTGGCTAGGCGCTTTCAGTGCCACCAAAAGCTCGGGTCTGTCCAACCGCCAAACCAGATACGTTAAGAAGTGGTAAATATGGCGTTGCCACAAATAAGCGCGTCGTCGGATCCCACTTCTGGCAAGATGGTGCGCTGCACGGTAGTGTGGTGGACGTCGGTCG